GTAGCCTGCCCTGATGTACATATGGAGGAGAATGTTATTATTAGTTGTCATTAAGTCAGCCCCTAAATCATGTTCCCATGATACTAGGCCCTGTGCCATCCTCATGATGGGTTGCGGATTGGACAATTGTCCATTGGTTTTTCAGAAGTAGAGCACCAGCCCTTTCTTTCTAATCTAGCCTTGGTCTTGAAGTTCACCGAGACCTGTTCAGCATATAGCAATACACATGCCTCCACTGAGACACAGATAGATGGCGGCTATGCATGAAGTGCATTGGCCAGGAAACAAACCCAGGTGTCCTCCAACAGGGTGTCCAGTGCTTTGTAAATCTTTGTGGGAGCAGAGAGCCTCAACTTTCGCCTGAGCAGCAGCTGGTGGTTAGAACTGTCGATTTGGTGGTTCTCAGTCCATCACTTAAAAGTGCTACCAGGACACTGTGGTCCTACCTAGAAGGTGAGAATTCTAACATTGAACCCCTCAGGTGAAGGATATCTGAACAAGACTGGGGTCAAATTGAAAGTCGAAAGGTCTCTGGCTGTCACATAATCTCCTGTTAACTTGGGAAAGGATGGAGTCTAGCCTGTCAATCAGGCCCCAGCTTGATGACCTCATTTGGAGGCACAAAGGAGATAAATAGTGACAGGAGGCCAGATACACAGACACTCTGTTTGTCTTCCTGCTGACAAGTCACAAGGAGACCCCTGATGGAACCAGAGCCCTGGAGCTGGAGGAGCCATGTGGAGACCTACACCAGCGCTGAGAGGCTTCCACCACCACTGCATCCACAACACTTTCCACCCACTGGCCTGTGATCTTCCTGCATTCGGCGTCATTGCATGTGATGCGTGAGTCTGAAGAAGAAATTATAGACTGGAATCAGAAATATGGGCTAATATTGGACTTATGGACTTGATCTGGATGGGCTGGGATGTTTTCTTAATATACAATTGCTTTTTGATAAAAATTTGTCTCAAATACATATGAATCTCCCTGGATTTGTTTCGCTGGTCCACCTGGACAAACACAGTTAGTATGCAGGAATGAGATTGATTTTTTTTTTTCACACATAGAGATTGATTTTTATATGGTGACATTCTACCCACATTGCTGAATCTTTCAATTAGTTCTCTTTTCTTGTTGAGTTTTGGAGTGTTCGATGTACAGAATCATATCACCTGCAAAGAGAGTTTTACTTCTTTGCCAATTTAGATGCCTTTGATCTTTTTGATGTCTGTTGAATAAAAGTGATGATAAAGGGAATCCTTGTCTGATTCCTGTTCCCCAAGGGGAATGCTTTCATTCCCGCTCCACATTGTAAGCTATTGCCCATTGACTTTGAGTATATGCCGTTTATCATGTGGTGGGGTTTCCCTTCTCGCCCTATTTTGTTGAATTTTTGATCAGGAATTGTTAAATTGTTACATTTTATTCCATAATTCTTCAATCTTTAATTATCCAGTAGTTTTTAAGGAGAATATTGCTCATGATCTTCCCCATGATCTTCCTATTGTTGATTTCTCACTTTACAGAGTTGATCTGAAAAGAAGCTTATAATACCTTGATGTTTTAAAATTTATTGAGGCTTACTTTGTAGCCTATTGATCTATCAATCGATCTATAAAATGTTCCCTATGCCCTGGAAAAGAATGTGTATTGTGTTGTTGTTGGATGGAGAGTTCAACATATGTCTAAGAGCTCAAGCTGATTAATTATCTCGCTTAATTTTTCTGTCTCTGTTGAGTTTCTTTCTAATTGGTCTGTCCTTCCTCAAGAGTGGCATATTAAAGTCACCAACTATTATTGTAGTACTGTCTTATTTCTTTCTTCAAACCTATAAGGGTTTGATTAATGTGCTTTTAAAATCATTTTATTGGGGGTTCATACAACTCTTATCACAATCCACACATCGATTGAATCAGGCATGTTTGTACATATGTTGCCTTCATTCTTTCTAGACATTTACTTTCTATTGAGCCCTTAGCTCCATTTCCCCCCCACCCCCGCTCCTTCCCCCTATTAATGTGTTTTGAAAGTCAATCACTGGGTCCAGACAAAGATGGCGCTTTCCTGTAAAGAATTATAGTCTCAGAAATTCACAGGGGTAGTTCTACCCTGTCTTATAAATGGTAGGCATCAAATCAATAGCAGTGAGTTTGGGTTGGCTTGAAATAAGAAAATCATATGATCTACTATGGTTGGAATAAAAAAAAATCAAGAGGAATGGTATGGCACTCATTGTCAAAAAGGACATTTCAAAATCAATCATGAAATATCAATGCTGTCTGTTATAGGTTATTTCTATCTGCCTTCAAGAAAATCCAATCAATACAACTATTATTCAAATTTATGCACCAACCACAAAAGCTAGCCATGAAAAAATTGAAGAATTCTACCAATGACATCAGTCTGAAATTTATCAATTGCACTGATAGTTATTGGTAATTGAAACAGCTTTCCTTAGCTGCCACTAAGGTGCTTGGTTCTTCCAAGCCATCCCAGCTATCCCGCACCATGGCCACCATCTGTGACATCACCTGCAGCTACTCAGCCCTCATCCTGCACTGATGAGGTGACCGTCACAGAGGACAAGATCAATGCCCTCATTGAGGCCACTGGTGTCCACATGGAGCCCCTCTGACCTGACCTGTTCGCTAAGGTCAACATCGGGAGCCTCATCTGTAACATAGGGGCTGGTGGCCCTGCCCCAGCTGCTGTTGCTGCACCAGCTGGAGGGCACACCCCCTCCATTGCTGCCACCCTGGCTGAGGAGAAGAAAGTGTAAGTCAAGGAAGAAGAGTCTAAAGAATCCGATGATGACATGGGCTTTGGTCTTTTTGACTAAACCCACTTTTGTAACATGGCCAATAAAACAAAATGAACTCTGAAAACAAAGAGAAAAGAACAATAGTTGGAAAATACGGTCTTGGTGACAGAAATGAATCTGGAGATAGCTTCATAGAATTTTGCAAAACCAGCCACTTATTTATAGGAAACACCTTGTTCAACAAAAGGCAACTGTATACAAGAACTTCTCCGATGGAATACATCGAAATCTAATCGACTACATCGGTGGGATGAGACTGGAGAAGCTCAGTATCAGTAGCTAAAACCAGTCCAGGGGTTGACTGTGGAACAGACTATCAATTGCTCATATATAAGTTCAAAATAAAGCTGAAAAAATTAAACCAAGTCCATGAGGGCAAAATATGACTTTGTATCTATCCCACCTGAATTTTGAAAACTTCTCAAAAACAGACTGGACACGTTGAACACTAATGACCTGATGAGCTCTGGGAAGACATCAAGACCATCATTCATTTAATGACAAACAGTCAATAATAAAACAAAATAATAATAATGTGACAAAGTGAGATGGAAAACAAACAAACAAACAAATAAAATGTGTCTGATCCAAGTCATGGTATTCTCATTTGCCTTGATTGCATGTGAAAGCTAGACAGAGAATAAGGAAGATCAGAGAAGAATTTATACATTTGAAATAATGATGTTGCTAAAGAATACTGAATACATTGAGGACCGCCAGAGAACAAATAAATCTGTCTTGGAATAATTAGTGCTGAAAAGCTTTTTAGAAGTGAGGGTGGGTGCGACTTTGTCTCCTCTACTTTAGACATGCTATCAGGCTGGGCCCTGGAGAAGGGCATCGTGTTTGGTAGAGAATCAGTGAAAAAAAGGAAGTCCTTCAGTGACAGGGGTTGACTCAGTAGTTACCAAAATGAGCTCAGGCATGAACATTGTGAGGATGGGAAACGACTGGGCAGTATTTCCTCCTTCTCAATTTATTTTTTCAACGTTTTGTTGTGAATTAGGTGAATCTGTTTATAAAGCAGACCATCCATTTTATATTCGATAATTCTCACACATTTTGTTTCAACTCAAGCATTGTAACCCCTCCAAGTGCCATCATTTCCCCCACTTTCTCCCTGTGTTTCCGTTCCTTCTACTTTACTAACCCTGTGCTTTCTCCTTGGGTAAACGCTGCCCTTTTGGCCTTAAACATTTGAATATTCTAACATGGGACGGGTTGTCCATTTCAGACCGAAAGCATAACTAAGAGACGTTGTCTTGGGTGTGCCACCAGTAATCCTGGTCTCTTATGATTTTGAGGTTTTTAAAAATATTTTCTCTTACTCTATCCAGGAACTTCTAATGTGGGAATTGGGTACTGCCTAGCTCTTCCGGTGTCAAGGTGCTGGATATTTGCCCGCTCCATTAGCTCACTGCATGAATAGTTTCCATACATCCTCTGATTCTCAGCATTCTTGTTTCTTCTCGATGAGGAGAGGCCAATAAGTTGCACCTTAGATGGTGGCTCATAGCGTTTAAGATGCACACAGGTGGTGTTTACTTCTGATGTTCACAGGGTCATTATCAATTGGAACCAACTTGATGGTACCTAACAATAACAGCCTCCAATCGTGTGGGGAGGTGAAGTGAACCATTAGAGATAAGAGTCCAGCCCACAAGGCCTAACTTTCCATATTTCAACACATCAGAAATGTCCATAGTAATCACAGAAAATAAAGTGCATCTTAGAGTTAATGGCATGGTGATTTCAATAAAATATGGCATCATTACCCTCTGTCTTGATCTTGAAGTAACAACGCCAGTGAGTCTCAATTACCCCATGTGCATAGTGGGAAAGCGAGCTCTTCCCCAGTTGGCCACCAGGAGGTTAAGGGAGACCAAATCTGTAGCAAGTTTCTGAAGGGGTCAGAGCCTCACCTTCTTCCCCCAACACAGTGCGTTGGCAAAAGCGGGCTTCTAGTAAGCCTGTTGTCAGGAGCTGGGAGCTCGGACAGACAGTGCCCTTATTTGTTTATCTACGCAAAGGGAACCCTTGTCACCAGGGTCAAGCAAATATTTGTAGTTATGGATTAACTTGGGTCCCAGGCGGTGATGGCGGCTGGAGTGCGACCTTGTGGGTTCCCAAAGACCCACCCTGGTAAGTCCTCCGCCTAGAACAGTTTTTATTCTGAAAGAATGTCTGTGGGGGAGGCCAGAAGAAAGTGAGCAGATGGTCAAACTGGCCAGCTTGGATTTGGGAGGCTTGCTATGGCTCCAGGTAAGGAAATTGGAGTGCTCACAGCACAGGCCAACACACTGGTGGACATTTCCCCAGAGAGGCACCTTATGTCCTATTCTTCCCAGAAGACCAGATAAATGGATGTTGGCCTTCAGTCTTCAGGGCCTAATCTGTCCCCAGAGGCAGTTTGGAGCCCAGGACCACCCACACTCCCAGATTTCCACCAATGCCTGGGGGTGTCTAACTTAAACAAATGTGGGAATTAGCCCAAGGGGAAAAGCTGCAAAGATAGAAAGTAAGGCGAGACAGGAATATGCAGATGCAGCCGGATGGGCCCTCCTACAGAAAGCTCCCTTATTTCTGGTGGTGATAAGAGTTCCTTGTAAGGCAGGGAGCCAAGCGCTAAGGTTCTAGGCGTAGACCTGGGCTTGAGTCTCAGCTGTGCCATCTCCTGCTTACTGATTTTGAATAAGGAACTTAATTCTTCTGAGCTTTAACTTCTCTTCTCTTCTCTGGGATGACAACATCAAGACCAACTTCTCAGGTGAAATAATAATTTCTACTGTTTATGGAAACTAATTAATAAAGAAGACTAGAGAAGAATTGATGCATTTGGATGATGGTATTAATGAGGAATATTGACAGTGGACGGCCAGAATGAACAAATCTGTCTTGAGGGAATCACAACTAACATGGTCTTTAGAAGTGAGGCTGGGGAGACCATCTCACATATTTTGGACACATTATCAGGTGGAGGGTCAGTTAAAAAAAAGTAGTAGACCCTTGACAAGAGAGATGGAAATAGTGGCTGCAACAATTAGGCACAAACAGTAAAAACTGCGATGGCACTTGACCAGGCAGAACTTTGTCCTGTTGGACATTGGCTGATAATAATTAGGACTAACACAAACAGCAACTAACGACAACAAAGCCTGGTGGCACAGCATTAGTGCTCGGCTGCTAATGGGAAGGTTAGCAGGTTAAACTAGCAGGTGCTCCACAGGAGGAAAATGTCACAAGTATGTTTTTACAACCGGAGAAACTCTATGGAGTAGTTCTACTCTGTCCCTTAGGGCTGCTGTGAATCAGAACCCACTTGATGGCAGAGGGTTCCATTTGTTGGTTTAACGCTTATTGCAGGGCAAGGCAGTGAGAGTTTAGTGGTAGAGTTCTTGCCATGGACACGGTCCATGCACCATCAATGCACTTCATACGTGTTGTTATAATGCTGAACAAGAGTCCCTGGGTGGCACACATGGCGAAGCCCTTGACTACTAACCAAAATATTGTGGTTCCAGGCACTCAGGAGCCCCTCAAAAATAGGCTTGGCCCTCTGTTTCTGGAAGTCGTGGCCCTGAAAACCCTATGGCTCAGAGTTTTACTCGGCACACACGGGGCCACCAGGAGCCGGAGCCAACACAGCAATAAATGACAAGGGTCACATGATGTTGACCAGGTTTCAGCAGAGCTTCCATGCTAACGTAGGCTAGGAAGAAAGGCCTGGCAATCTACTTCCAAAAAGCAAATAAGGAAAACCTATGGCTCACAGCATGGGCCAGCTCAGGACCAAACAGCCTTTTTTCTCTTGTGCATGGGTCATCAGGAGTTGGGGTTGACCTGGCCTCAGCTAACAACAAAATTTATCAAGATATTACTAAGTGAAACCTCATTTTAAGAGATTTGTATGGATTAGCACATTTAATTCTTACAAACCTATAAGGCAGGAATTCAATTATGCTTTCTATCTAACAAATGAGGGAGGCATAGCACAGTTTAATTTCTCACCTACCACTGCTACCCAGCACTGGTGGTGCTGGGATTTGAACACAGTGGCCTGGCTTTAAGAATCCCTGGTGGCATCGTGGGTGCTGTGTAAGCCTGCTAATCGCAAGGCCACAAGTATGAATCCACCAGCCACTCTGCAGGAGAAAAGTGAGACTTTATGCTCCCCTAAAGAGTTACAACCTTGGAAACCCAGAGAACCAGTTCCACTCTGGCCTATTGTGTCACTATGAGTCCGAATAGACTCGGTGGCAGTGCGTTTGGAGTTTCGGTCAGACCAGCAAAAAGCACAGTCACATGCCCTCCTCAGAAAGGGAGCACAGGTAGGCCACAAACATTCGGGTGCACCATGATGTGCAAAGTACTTTACATGTGGAGTCGGTGTTGTTTTCATTCCCTCTTCCTTCCCCTTCAGACGCAGGGCAGGCAGTGCAACCTTAACTGAGACACAGGAGAGGGCTAAGGAGACACACGACCCCCGACCTAGTGACCAACAAGCCCAACCCCAGCGTTAGCCTTGAAAGCAGCAAATAGGGCAACAGGTCCTTTTGATTAACCTCCTCCTGGCGGGGGCGAGGGGTGGGGGGCACAGGTTGAGCAGAGGGCTGGCGGGGCTGCTAGGAGCTCAGACTTCCTTCTTGGACAGGTGTGTGCAACTCCAGAATGTGGCAGCTCATCAGCTTCTTACTGTTCGTGGCCACCTTGGAAATTTCTGGCACACCAGCTTCTCCTGGTAAGGCAGTCCTCCTCCATCTCCCCGGTCTTCTCTGGACACACCATCTCTGGCACCTGCCCAAGTCTCATAGCTCCGCATCTGGTTGGGCCATGGGTGAGGATGAGAGGCTAGTTTGAAAGCTGCTTGAGTGTCCCCGGTAGGGTGGCTATGGAGGGCAGTCGTGTTGACATGGGGCCCATGGTCGAACCCTGAGGTCCTTCCCCTGCTCCTCACTGATAGTGTCCCCAGGCCTTCTTGCCCCACATACTTGCTTGCTCAACTGTGACAGCCCCTATCCCACCATCCCGCAAGTCTCTCGGCTGGACGTCTGCTGCCCTGTCCTCTGGTTCCCATGGGCACAAGTAGAGGTCTGACTCCCAGGCAATGATCTGGAACTCATTCTTTAAAGCCTCCTCCTTCTCACATCCTTGGCCCTGTGGGCTGGGTCTTGCATTGATACCCTTTCTTGAGCTGCTTGTCTGCCTGCAGAGCTCTTTCCTTCCTCTCCTGATGTATGGCAGTTACGCTTGAGTTCCTCTTTCCAGACTCAGCCCAACAGACTTCCTCTAGCAGGCCTTTCCTTGTCTTTGACCTTCCACCCTCTACCCCCTTGTGCTCACTCCCCCTAACTCGACCCCTTCCTCCTTGTTGTCAAACTGCACCCAAGATAATACCTCGGGAGACCATGAGACAGTTGGTCTGACTCGGGTTTGTCTATATTCCAGGTATGCCTATACAGGGGAAGGGCATGTAGAATGGGCCAATGAAGGTGCAGGGGGCTGGGGGGAGTTCTCCAGGAGATGTGGGGGGAATGGGTAGCAGGGGTCCTCAAACTACAGCCCGCGGGGCACATGCAGCCCACCGAGGACATTTATCCAGCCTGTCGGGTGTTTTTGCCCCATTTGTTTTTTTACTTCAAAATAAGATATGTGCGGTGTGCATAGGAATTTGTTCATAGTTTTTTTTAAACTATAGTCCGGCCCTCCAACAGGTCTGAGGGATAGTGAACTTGTCCCCTGTTTAAAAAGTTTGAGGACCCCTGGGTAAAGGCATCAAGATGGGGCTGCCCAAGGTGTACTCAGAGAACAATGAACCCCACTGGGCTTAGCCCTCAGAACAATACCGCAGTGACAACAGTAGATGGCATTTGTTATGGGTGCTATTTCTGTGCCAGGCAGTCGGATGGCATAAGGAGGTAAGCACTGAACTAGTCACCGAAAAGCTGGCAGTTCAAATCTACCCAGAAACACCAGAGGCCTTCAGATCTGCTTCCTGAAGGTGGCAGGTTTGAACTAGTTCAAACCAGTTTAGTTATGGCTGGCCAAAGTAAAATCAGAAGACACCTAAGTTTTCAAAATTGGAGCTAAGTGGAATAACACTAGAATCAGAAAAATTACAAGTTGAAGCCCTGAAATAAGAAACTTAGAAGAGGCAAAGTGAGCCCTTTTGGGAACCTGATGAGAGAAATTGGATTATTAGCCAGAATTATGGGCACACCATCGTTGATCGGACATTTCTGTTTTCCCACCTTTCTGGTAAAAATTTGATTTGTGTACCTTCCTGCATGCTGCCCTTGTTCCCTGAGAAAGAGATTAAGTTTCTAGCAGAGTGTCAACACATTTTTCTAGCCCTCATGGCTCATCATGGCAGAACTGGGAAGAATCATTTCAAAACCCTGCCTAAAGATAACTTGGTGGTAACTAACAACAGCTCTATGATGACCTCATTCCATGCTTGGGATAAGTAAACCAGTTGCGAGAGGTAAAGACCCTGGCTCTTGGTCACAGAGAGGTGGCGTGGCGTTGGGTCTCAACATGAGGTCTGTTCATCTCTGGAGCAGGTGTTCTTCCCAGGCAAGTCTCTTCCTCTTTATGGGGTGCAGAGGAGAGAGAACAAGATGATCCCCTAGGAACAAATCATCCCCAGGAACCGGAAACAAAACCCTTTCCTGCTCCTTCTCAGTTTGGTTCTCCTAGCCCCTCTCTGGCCCCAAATCCCCAGAGCCCCTCCACCAAAGTGAACTCCGACCCAACCCCTCCCAGACGGGGTGTTCTTCAGCGGCCAGCGTGCCCACCAGGTGCTGCGGCTCCAGAAGCGGGCTAACACCTTTTTAGAGGAACTCCTGGCAGGCAACCTGGAGCGGGAGTGCGTGGAGGAGATCTGCAACCTGGAAGAAGCCCACGAGATCTTCAAAAATCTGGATGACACGGTAACATTGCCCACAGCACAGGGGGGGTGGGGCCAGGAGCCCGAGTTGGTGCCTAGCAGAGCTACTAAGGGCTGGTGGCGGCACCAGTGCCTTCTCCTCTTAGTTTGTTGGTGGTGGGCAAATGGGACAGACAGGACACTGGCCTTTTGGCCTTGTCAGGCAAGGGTAACTGTGAGAACAGAACTCGCCAATTAGCTCCAGGATGGAGGGCAGGCAATCCCTTGGGTGGGGCTCTCACCCAGCCTCGTTGTAGGGAGTCCTGTCCACCCCAACCTAGTCAACCTCCTGTCTCTACCACTGTCTTCTTTGCTGTTGCCAAAAGGCCACTCTCCCTGCATTCAGCCCTGACCAGGGGCGGGGGGTGAGGGGGGAGTGTGGGGGGAGTAACCCACGACTCCCCAGTGTCTGCACAAATGCTCTCTCTGTACCTCGTTGAAATTGTCACCGGAGATCATCTGATTGCTCAGAGGATCAGAGGGGAGAACCAGAATGGCCTAGAGCCTATGGGGCCCAGAGGAGGAGACTCTGAGATGGTTGGATGGGCTTAGTAAGAGGTGCTTCCTGCTACAAGGCCAGTCTGTCACCCCACTGACTCGCCAGGAGCTCAATTCAACTATTCCTAGAGCTGTGCCCCTAGCTGCTCCTTCTCTCCCTCCCACCCCCATTCCTCAGCCGGCTCCCATTGGTTCCCCTCTGCATCCCATGGCCTCTTTCTCAGCAGGCACCCGAGTGATTTCTCCTTGAGTGTGCAAATCTGAGCCACACTCAGCCTGTGCACCACTCAGCGTGCGCTCCGCAGACCAGCATTAGCCCGCAGGATGCCGGTACGCATGCAGGGTCTCCACTGCCCAGACGCTGAGCCAGCACAATGTGCTGTACTGCAGCGATCCTGTGCACGCCCTTGCTTAGGGAAAGGCGGGATGAGGGAGAAGTTTCTAGCAGCCAGATGAAAAGGATGGATATGAAGTTGTTTAGGGAAGTAGGCGCTTAGTGGCCTTTCTCAGGGTGTCCTAGCGACAGAGGCTGCCACCCCTCTGGGTTTGGAAGTCAGCCCTCCCTCCCTTCGCTGCTTGCATAGAGGCTGTCTCATCCCTTCTCTCCACAGCTGGCCTTCTGGTCCAAGTACACAGGTGAGTGCCTTCTAAAGCCCTAGTAACCCTGCCTGGACCCCCACCTCTCACCCCCCACCCAACACACCCGCTGGGCCTGCTGGGGACAGGTGGGCGTGACTGATCTCCCCCTGGGTGTGCGGCAGATGGGGACCAGTGTGCAGAGCTGCCGAAAAGACATCCTTGCAAAAGCCCGTGCTGCGGGCACGGCCAGTGCATCGACGGCTTAAACAGCTTCCGCTGCGACTGCGTCTCAGGCTGGGAGGGCCGCTTCTGCGCATACGGTGAGGGGGTGTCCCGGGGGGCGGGGGCGGGTGGGGGTCGCGGAGGCGAGTCCACGAGGGTTTCCGTCGACGTGGTTTGCACGATCGACCCAGAAGACTGATTGACCCAGAAGACTTATTAAAAACGCTCTCGAGCCTGGCTCAGCGCCTACCGGCCCATCCTCGCATTCACTGTGCTCTGCCAGGGGGGCGGCGGGGCCGAGGGGTGTCCGGCCAAACCTTCACCGGGGGCCGGGGTCCCTCTGCCCGCACAGAGGTGCTCTTCTCCAACTGCTCGGTGGCCAACGGCGGCTGCGCGCACTACTGCTCTGAGAAGGACGGGGCGCGCCACTGCAGCTGCGCTCCTGGGTACCAGCCGCAGGACGACCCCCAGCAGTGCGGGCCCGCAGGTGAGCGGCCCACACCGGGGGCTTCCAAGGGGGGCTTCCCTCGCTTCCCTCCTCCCCCAGGCTCCCTTCCCAGGAAAGGTTTTCTTCCGAAAACCACCTCACTAGGATACAGGGTGGGATGGTGGAGGGGAAGAAGACAAGGACAGGTCCAGGAGCAGTTGCTGAAAGACAGAGGGTGGTGAGCAGGGTTGAATTCCTTGGTGACAACATTGGTGACCGGTGAGCCTGTTTCGTATCCCAAACAGGAATGCGGGGAGAGGCACCAAGTATACTCCTGACTGGCCTCACATGGGTGTATTTCTTTCAGACAACCCTGCCTTCTTCATCTCGTGTTTCTTTAAACAGCGAGAGACAGGAGCCATGAATCTGCCTTGTGTTGTATTTTCCTTTTTTATTATTTTCTTCTTAAATGTCTTTTAAAAAATCTTTTAATGGGGGCTCGTACAACGCTTATCACAATCCACCCATCCATCCATTGTGTGTCAAGCAGATTTGTACATTTGTTGCCATCATCAGTCTCAAAACATTTGCTTTCTACCTGAGCACTTGGTATCAGCTCCTCATCCCTCCCTCCCTCCCTGCTCCCCGCTCCCTCATGAACCTTTGGTAATTTATAAATTATTATTATTTTGTCATATCTTGCACTGTCC